AGAGTATCAACACTGGAGGACAAAGTTCAAGAATTGGACCACTCAAGCAAAGAGTATGGAAAATTTAAAAAAACACAGGAACAGAATATGCAAGAGATGTGGGACACCATGAAAAGACCATATCTACGGATCATAGGAATAGAGGAAGGAGAAGAATGACAGGTTAATGGTGTTCAGGATTGTAGAAGAGGATTTCCTGAAATTAAGGAAAGACATCGCCATACAAATACAAGAAGCACATAGAACACCAAATAGGATCAGAACACAAACTCCCCACGACATATCATAGTAAAAACACTAAATGTACAGAACAAAGAGAGAATACTGAAAGCAGCAAAAGAAAAACAGGTCACATACAAAGGAAAGCCCATCAGAATTACAGCTTACTTATCAAGGCAAACTATAAAAGCCAGAAGAGCCTGGACCAAGGTATTTCCAGTTCTACATGACAATAGATGTCAGCACAGAATACTTTACCCAGCAAAGATGTCTATTATAGTTGAGGGAGAAAGAAAAATCTTCCATGACACGAATAGACTGAAAGAATACATGTCCACAAAGACAGCCCTCAAAGTATACTTGAAGCAATACAGAGAGCGGAGACAGAAAATACTATACCCCAGAGACAACGAAAGAAAATAAAGATATAATCTTGGAAACACAAAATTACACAGAGAACACAAACAGCAATCAAAATGACAGCAACCAATACACACTTTTCAATAATCACCTTAAATATCAATGGACTGAACTCCCCAGTCAAAGGACACAGGCTCAGTGAATGGATTAAGAAACAAAATCCATCTCTTTGCTGTCTGCAAGAAACCCATTTCACCTTCAAGGATAGATACTTCCTTAAAGTGAAAGGAAGGAAAAGAATATTCCAAGCAAATGGCACTAAGAAACAAGCAGAGGTTGCAATTCTAATATCTGACAAAATATCTGACTTCAAAGTAAAACTAATCAGAAGAGATGAGAGTTACTTCATTCTGATCAAAGGAACAGTTAACTAACAAGATATTACAATCCTTAACATATATGCACCAAACTCTGGTGCACCCAAATTCATAAAAACAACGCTACAGGACTTTAAGAGAGAGATTAACCCCAACTCAGTAATAGTAGGGGATGTCTATACCCCACTGTCTCCATTAGACAGGTCAACCAGACAAAGAATAAACAGAGAGACGTCTGAATTAAATGATACCATACACCAAATGGACCTAACAAACATCTTTCGATTATTCCACCCAAACACCCAAGAATACACTTTCTACTCAGCACCTCATGAACTTTTTAAAAAACTGACCACATACTGGGCCACAAAACAAACCTCAACAAATACAAAAATACTGAAACAATTCTGTGCATTCTATTGGACGACGAAGCAGTAAAGCTCAAAATCAACACTGGACGAAACCCTAGTAACTACACAACTCATGGCGATTGAACAACACACTCCTAAACAATGAGTGAGAAAAGGAGAAATTAATAAAGAAATAAAAGAATTCCTGGAATTCAACGAAAAGGACAGTACAACACAACACAACCTCTGGGATACATTAAAAGCAGTCCGAAGAGGGAAGTTTATAGCTCTAAGTGCCTACATTAAAAAATTAGAAAGAGCCCAAACAAATGACCTAACACTGCAACTCAAGACACTGGAAAGGCAAGAACAAATGAAACCCAAACCCAGCAGAAGAGAAGAAGTAATAAAAAGCAGAGCAGAAATTAATGAAATAGAAACAAAGAATCAATGAATCTAAGAGCTGGATCTTTGAAGAGCTAAACAAGATAGACAGACCCTTAGCCCAGTTAACCAAAGAAAGAAGAGCAAATCCAAATGAACAAAATCAGAGATAACAAGGGAAACACCATGATGCCCAAAAGATCCAGACTATTATAAGGGAATATTTTAAACACCTATACACTATTCAATCTGAAAGTCTAAAAGAAATGGATGAATATCTGAAATCATGGGAACCTCCAAAGTTAAAACAAGAAGAGATCAACAGTTTAAACAGACACATAACATATAAGGAAACTGAAACAGTAATACAAAGCCTCCCAACTAAAAAAAGCCCAGGCCCAGATGGATTTACAGCAGAATTCTATCAGATACTTAAAGAAGACCTCCAACCAATACTACTTAAATTACTCAAAACGATAGAAAGAGGGAGAACTCCCAAATTCCTTCTATGAAGCTAGTATCACTCTAATACCTAAACCAGGTAAAGACACAACTAAAAAAGAAAACTACAGACCCATATCCTTAATGAACATAGATACAAAAATTCTCAACAAAATACTTGCAAACTGCATACAGACACACACATCAAAAAGATCATTCACAGCCAGAGGAGGGAGAACTTCCAAATTCTTTCTATGAAGCCAACATCACTCTAATACCAGAGCCAGGTAAAGATACAATCAAAAAAGACAACTATAGACCCATATCCTTAATGAACATAGATGCAAAATTTTTCGACAAGATACTTGCAAAATGCATACAGACACACATCAAAAACATCATCCACCATGATCAAGTCAGCTTTATCTCAGAGGTGCAGGGGTAGTTCAATATATGCAAGTCAATAAATGTCATAAATAACATAAGTACAAGTCAATAAATGTCATTAATCATATAAATGGACTCAAAGACAAAAACACTGTCATCTCAATAGATGCAGAAAAAGCGTTTGACAAAATTCAGCATGCATTTATGTTCAAAGTCCTAGAGGGAATTGGACTGGAAGGAACATACCACAACATAATTAAAGCTATATACAACAAAACCACAGCCAACATCACTCTAAATGGAGAAAAACTGGAAGCATTCCCATTAAAACCAGGAACCAGACAAGGATGTCCACTATCTCTACTCCTTTTCAGCACAGTGCTTGAAACTCTTGCTAGCGCAGTAAGACAGGAGAAGGAAATAAAAGGAGTACTAATTGGAAAAGAAGAGGTCAAACTATCACTTTTTGCAGATGATATGATACTATACCTAAAAGATCCCAAAAGTTCTACCAGAAAACTCCTAGAACTGATCAACACTTTCAGTATAGTGGCAGGTTATAAAATCAATCTACAAAAATCAGTTGCCTTTCTATATACCAATAACAAGCAATTGGAGAAAGAATACAGGGAAATGCTCCCATTCACTATTGCTGCAAAAAAAATTAAAATATCTTGAAATAAATCTGACCAAAGACACCAAAGAGCTCCGGTTTAATAGTGGTGTGTTTCTGTGTCAAGTTGACAAAGGGTCAATTGTGCTGGACAGCTTGTCAACTTGACACACCACACGTGTGTTGAGGGAGCCTCAAACAGGGAATTGTATTCATAGCACTGGCCTGTAACCATGTCTGTGGGGCATCCTCTTGGCTGTTGAGTGATGTGGGAGGGCCCAGGGCCCAGCCCATTGTGGGTGATTCCATCCCTTGGCAGGTAGGCCTGCATTGCATAAGAAAACAAGCTGAGCATGGGCCAGGGGAGCAAGTCAGTAAGCAATGATCCTCCATGGTCTCTGCTCTAGCTCCTGCCTTCAGGTTCTTGCCCCGAGTTCCAATCCATGGGCTCCCTGATGAACTGTGACCTGTGAGATGTAAGACAAATAAACCCTTTTCTGCCCAAGTTGGTAGTGTCTTTTGTCACAGCAATGGAAAAACAAAATAGGACACTAATCAACAAGTGGGACCACATTAAACTAAAAAACATCTGTACAGCAAAAGAAACAACCAAGTAAGTGAAGCGAAAACCCACAGAGTTGGAACAAGTTCTTCACCAGTGACACATATGACAGAGTTTAACATCCAGAATAGATAAAGAACTAAAAAAACAAAGAAACAAGAAAGCAAATGACACAATTAAAAGATGGGCTTAAGCTCTGACAGAGAGTTCTCAAAGAAGAAATAAGGATGGCTAAGAAACATCTTTAAAAGTGTTCAACGTTGTTAGTAATTAGGGAAATTAAAATTAAAACCATCTTAAGATTTCACCTTACCACAGTCAGACTGGCTAGGATCAAGAGAACAAATGATTCCAAATGCTGGTGAGGATGTGGAGAAAGGGGAACGGTCATTCACTGCTGGTGGAATTGCAAACTCGTGCAGCCTCTATGGAAAACAGTGTGGAAAACTCTTATAAAACTAAAAATGAACCTACCACATGACCTGGTTATACCACTCCTTGGCATAGACCCAAAGGACTCATCCTATTGTAGAGACACTTGTACAACCATGTTTGTTGCTGTTCTTTTCACAATAGCTAAGAGACGGGAACAACCTAAGTGTCCCTCAACTGATGAGTGGTTAACAAAAATGTGGTATATTTACACAATGGAGTTCTATTCAACAGTAAAGAAAGATGAAATAATGAAATTCGTAGGTAAATGGATGGATTTAGAAACTGTTATACTAAGTGAAGTAACAGACTCAGAAAAATAAACAACATATGTTCTCCCTCATATAGGGCTCCTAGCACCCAATTCTTTTAAATTCCAGGTCCTTTTTATATGATGATGCTATACAGCATGAAAACAACTGCCCTCATCAAGACTTTGGCTGAGCCTGATTGCTAAACACAGTCATTACTGGGCTTGTTGATGGTTGTGTTCATTCATTAAAGGAGTGCCAAGCAAGGTCACTGGACCCTCACCTGAGTATCCAGCCACTGTTCCCAACCACCTAGTCCAGCCTTGGAAGACAAAAAAAAATTAGGAAGAACCCAATAGAAGGATGTTTTTGGAAGCCCTCGTCAAAAAACTCCAATGGAGACTCATACGAACATTTGAAAATTGCCCTGTTCTGACTTTTTTCTAGTTCCCTGTCTAGAACTTGTAATGCTAACTATTCTTGCCTTTATTTCTCTTTCACATCTCCTATTCACATGATTCAAGGACTTTCTTTTCCCCTTAGAAACAAGAGTTATGCAATTTGGGAGTCTTTTAGATAGACCCACTGAAGGGGTACTCCAACTGCCTCACCCTGCATCCTGTTCAGTATGGAAGAAGCCAGAGTGGTCTGCGTCCCTATTCCCTACTGTCAATTTGGGTAACCCTTCAGAGAATGGTGTGATAAGAACAGAAGGTAGGAATTGGCTAGGCAGTTAGGGTAAAGACCCCAAAGAAATGTAGCCAGTTCTTGGGCTAAGTCAAAATGTCCTTGGGCCTGTCAGTAACACACACTGTTCCAAAGGCCAAAAATGTCAAAATATCAAAAGTATTTGGGAACTTGTATCTAATCCTTAAAAGATTTTAGGGTTACCTCTTCAGAGGGGGAGGGGAATGTTGGAGGGAAGGGAGGGGGCATGAATTTGCTCAAAACACCTTATATGCATGTATGAAATTCTCAATGAAGTTTTTTTAGAAGTTAAAAAAAAAAAAGAGTGTAAGGTAGGTTGGGCATGGCGGTGCACACCTTTAACCCCAGCACTCAGGAGGCAGAGAGAGATGATCTCTGTGAGTTTAAGGCCAGCCTGATCTAGGCTTCAGGGAGACCCTGTCTCAACAAGACCAAAAAAAAAAAAAAAGACTATAAGGTAATAAGGTAGAGTCTTAAGTCTCCAGCATAGTAGTCTGTCCCTAAAAGCTTAAGAAACAGATGCACAAATCCTAGTCTGGGGGCTGGGGAGACAGCTCAGTGGGTAAAGTGCTTGCTGTACAACTTAAGGACCTGGGTTCGGATCTCCAGCACCTAGATAAAAAGTCAGGTGCAGTGGCACATGTCTGTAGTTTTAGCACTGGGGAGGCAGAGGCAGGAAAATCACTGGGGCTTATGGTCAGCTAGGTGAATTGGCAAATTTCTAGTTCAGTGAAACCCTGTCATGAAAGTAATAGAGGAAAACACCACTGATGTTGACATCCGGCCTCCACATGTGCACATATGGTTGTACACATCCACATACACATCCACATACATCCCCACACCCCCACACTCGCACACACATAAATAAAAACACTAGTCCTGAACACAGAGGAACTGAGGGGCCAGTGTCCTTACCACATGGATTGGACCTCTGCGCCACATCAAGACCAAGCAGCAGACTCATCCGGGCAGGTCAGGGAGGCCTGCCTTCTAAAGTACAAACATATCTCAAGATCTTCAACAGAGTTCACTGCTCCACAAACTTTTAATCTAACATTACAAATGAGCCTCTTCTCATTTGGTTGACAAGCTGGTGGTTTGGCACAAGGAATATATTTGTCCACAAAACCACAGGATTCAGCCATGTCAGTTCTAAACAGACCCACAAGCGGGGGGAGCTGAACTCACAATGGAAGTAATGTTACTACAGAATACTAATAATTAAACCAACAGTAAAATAGAGTATTAGGCCTTTGTTTCCTTTTGTGTGGTACTGGGCAAGGAACCCAGGACCTTAAGAATGCTAGGTAAGTACTCTGCCAAAGAGCCTAGGAATCAGACAGATGCTCATGGTTGGGGGCTTCCTGCTATGATTATACTTCACATGTGCACCTCCTTTTCTCACCAAGTAGCCCTCTCATCACCCAGTGGGGCCTCATCAAGTGACAGCAGAGGAGAGGATAAACCTGACTGGACTGGCTTGAGTGGGGATGGCAGTAAAGGTGCCTCTGAGGGTGGGGGGACTCAACAGAACTCAGGCCAGCCTGGCTGTAGGGCCACTGGAGGAAGGGGTGGTGAGTGCATCAAATTAACTGGTCATCCCTGTCCACTGTCAGTTCTACAGACTGTCTATTGTAACCCGAAGCCCCCTGAGCCCTGGCATGGCCTATCCCTGGGGCAGAGGGGGCTACCCAACAGCCAGCAGCTTACTTGTGTGTACTCTCAGACAGAGCTTCCTTCAGCCACTGCTGCATCACAGCCGGCTTCACCTTGTCCCTGTGTCTGCACTGAAGCTGGTAAAATGGCTTGAGTGCACTGTCCACATAAGAGGAGGCTGTGCTGGGGACCTCCTGGAATGACATTGTCCACACAAAGCAAAGAGTGAGACACCAAACCAAGGTTAGTCTACAACCCCATCCCTCCCAGAAGTAACGAGAGGTTCACAGAAAGACGCCTGGGGCAGCAGGGGGCAAGGGGAGGGCCTTCAGTCCCTCTACTCCAGGTCAGGCTGGCTCTGGGTTGGGTTTGTGGGTGAGTCCTGAGACTGCAGTTCTGACTCCTGCCATGAGGAGATGCCCAGCGCTGGTCCTACATCCTGTTTGAGCAGCAAGGATGGGGCTGGGCACTTGGGTCCCTTGTTCTTTAGAAGATGAAGACAGCCCCTGGTGCCCACCAAAGTCTGACCTGCTGTGCGTGCTCACACACATTATGATGACAGTCCACTAACAGAAGGAAAAGTAAGGCACCTGGCCCTATGCCACGCACCCCCTTCCAAGTGGGAGCAAGTCAGGAGCCACTTTTGTTATAAGTGACAATTCTATTGCATACCCAGATCTTTGTTTTGTTTTTGACAAACATAGGGTCAACACTATGAAGTCTAGGCAGGCATCAAACTTGTGCTCTTCCTGTTTTTGCCTCCAACTATTGGGATTATGAGTACAGACTACCACGACTGCCTCTGCCAATTCAAATCTTAACCTGGGAAGGGAAAGCTGGATGCAAGTGGCTCACACTTGTTATCCCAGTACTTGGGAGGCTGAGGCAGGAAGACTGTCATGAACTCAGCTACGTAGCAAATTCCAGGTTATCCTGGGCTACATTGTAAAGCCTTGCCTTTAAAAGATAACAACAACATAAAGAAGAGAAAAGGAAGTCAGTCAGTTTTTGCCAAACATCAGTCCAACAATAGGGAATTGCTTTCTGTACCCAAAAACTCTTCTGACAAATGGAAAAATTAATGCTAACAGCAGTGGGGTTCCTGCACTTAGCGTACCAGCTAAAGGTTGGCCATAAGCCATTTTTACAGTTCCTGGGAGTTTGGAGTTGTAAGTACTAAGTCTAAAAGTCTAACCATAACTGGGAAACACAGTCAGAGAGAGGCTCACATGAGATTGTGTGAGAATGCAGGGAGGTGAGCGTGCAGGTAGAACTCAAAACTAAGAAAACATGACCCCATATCACTTTCTACAACCTGAGTGAACAACAAAGTCTGCTGTGAACACCAGCCAGTGTACACCACTTTGTCTTATACATGATGTTAGTACTTTCTTTCGGGGTACTAGGGTGAACTCAGGTTTTGTGCATACTAGGCAAATACTTTACAACTGAGCTACATCTCAGCCTCTAACACTTTTTAAAAATTCTATTTTGTAGCCGGGTGTGGTGGCACAGGCCTTTAGTCCTAGCACTCGGGAGGCAGAGGCAGATCTCTGTGAGTGTAAGGCCAGCATGGTCTACATAGCAAGTGCCAGACCAGCTGGTACTACAGAGAGGGCCTGTCTCAAAACACACACACACACACACACACACACACACACACACTATATATATATATATGTTTGTTTGGGGGCAATATACATGTCACAGATCGCATGTGGAGGTTAGAGAACAACTTGCAGGAGTCAGTTCTCTCCTTTAAATAAATGACTTAGAAATGTTATTAAAATACTTTCTTTCAAAAAAGTACTTTATCCTATTGAGGATAGGCTCCAAGTCCACTGTATAGGCAGGGCTAGAAGCTGGCTCCTCACCTTCCTGGGTTCCCTGCCTCAGGCTACCCTAGGACCTGCTGGTGTTCCCCTCATTGTCCCCTCATCCTGCCCACCACAGAGCTCTCTACAGGAGTGACACTGACCTTATTGGTCCTTCGATAAAGCCTAGGGACCTCCTGGGCACCCTTCAGGTAACTGAAGCAAGACTCACTCAGGTCCTGGATGATCCTGCTGCTTAGAGCAGGCATGTGGGTGGACAAGGCACTCTGCGAGTCTTCCAGGGCCTCTGGGAACACAGGATGGCTGCAGTCATTTTTCCAGCCAGGGCAAGTTTCACTTTAAATGTGACTATAGTATTTAGTATGTACTCTAATAAATCAGATAATTAGAATAAATCAAAAGATCTCATTTAGGGAAGCTAAATCACAGAGCAAAATATAGAAAAAAACTAAGGATTTACAACAAGAGATGAGGATGTTAAATATATCCTGCAGTTTCTAGAATGTTATTTTATTTCTTATTCAAAGATTCTCTGAGTCTGATTCATTTTTACCTGAGATGGATGAAAAATTCTTAAAGCCGATGATTTCAAGTTTTGGCCGGATTGCCTCCAGGAGTTCTGGAAGCTGAAATACACATGCGCTTCAGACATTTGGTTCTTCTTACAATCAAAAGATCAGACAGTTCTTGTGTTATAAAATCAGAGCAATTAAGAAGCAGTGAAACTAAAAGTGGGACTTGTAGGTGTTCCCATTGAGCAGGGTTCATACACGCTAGACACTGAAGCAAGGCCAGACTCTGAAGCAAGGCAGACTCAAAGTAAAAACCCACATATAACTCTCCACAACACCAAAAATGCTCACAGTAAACAGACCACATTCTTTCTCAAAACACACAATGCATTTATTCAAATACACACAAAAAACATTAAACTTGTGAAAAGCAGAATCTATTTAAAGCTGTAAACTAAGCTTGTTCCACAAAGTTCTCCAAATGCTGAGAGCCAAAAACATGAGACAAATGCAGAGAAAGCAGAAGTTTTAATATATCAACACCTTCAAACATTCGGTGCAGTGAACTAAAAACAACTGAAGTTCAGCTCACCACAGGCCATGCCTGAGCAGAGCTGAGCTGACGAGGAAAAAGGGGGAACCCAACTCTGCTCTGAGTGGTCAGGTCACTTCTAAGAGCAGGAGGCAGTGGGCTGGGCAGGGTAGGGCAGGGCAGCAGGCACCACCGAGAACACGGCACACTGAAGCAGTTGTGAAGAGGCCAGCTGAGAACACCAAGCAGGGCGTCTCTACACAGAGCATCCTCTCGGGTACCTGTGGCCCCACAATTCATGGTCCACAGCTGCACTGGTGCCCACAAAGCTCACCTGCTCCTGAAGCCTGCCTAGGTCTGCAACCACATATACCAGCTGGGTGCTGGAAAGAGACACTGCCGGCACTTCTGAAGGACGGCTTCCTTGGTCTTCAGTATTTCCTTGTGTCGTGGAAGGGTCTTTGCTACCAGATGCTAGAGGTCTTTTCATTTCCTTGGTGCTGTCATTAGAAATGGGCCTGGCAGAAAGCTGAAAAGGATTTCAAGGATCAAACGGTTCTCTACTAGAAGATATGAGGGCATCTGCATAAGTCAAGAGCTCTGCTCATAATGCTAGCTGTCTATAAGTATATGGCAGAAACACCAAGGGGAAGGCCAGGTCCATCCCAGGCAGGTCCCAGACCCGATGACCCTGGAATTGTCAGGGTTTGAGAGAGCCAGTACAGCAGGACAGAGTGTAAAGTAGAGGACATGGAGAAAGTGAGACCCTCCCTTTCACAGAGCCAAGTTACAGAAGAATGGATACACAGACTACTTTATATCCCAAGTCCATAGGGTTGGGGCAGCAGAGCTACGCTGGATCCTGACTGCTCCAAGCCTGTGCTTTGCTCCAGACAGGTGTGCCTGTCATGACACCTTTGCGGTGTGCTTTTCTCTTTAGACTCCCTGCACCTTGAGAACTGGTTTGTGTTTGTCACTGAAGGTGGTCCTGAGGTGGCTTTGTGGACTGGGATCTGTAAGGACCTAAGGTTCAGCTCCTAGTGGTATCAACCTACTGGGACAAGAGCGCTAGGCTTCACTGTGTATCAGTAAATGAGCAGAGCATGTGAACAGCTAGCACACTGACCACCTGAAGGACAGGGAGGTCCTAAGACAGAGAAGCAACTACTTTTCTATTTTGGGGATCATGTGATTGAAACTTCAAGTGTTAAAATTTACTTTCTAGTATTTTCATTAAAACAAACATTTAAGAGTCTCACTTTGAGAAGAGAAATGAACTCATTAGAGTGGGCTTTTCAATAACGAACACTGAGCATATGGTCAGGCACCCACAGCACTTCAAATCTCCTTGGGTGTTTGGCTACGTGCCCCACTAACTAATTAGAGAGGAGCTGAGTGGTAGCTACTCACCTCGCTGACAAACACAGAGAATCGGGCCAGAATCTGCAGTGTGAGCCTCCACAGCCGGTGCGTCAGCAGAGGCAGGAACATCTCATCAGACCAGCACTTCCTCAGGCTGCTCCATGTTGTATGAGAAGCCAAAAGACAATACGGACTTCCAGCTGGAGAGAAATAGGGACTTAGGAAGCACTGGTCAGTTACAGCCGCCATCTAACCCAGACATCAGCATACAAGCCAAAGGAAAGAATAGTGGCATGGCCAAAAGGCTGTTAGCAGCTGCAGACCACATGGCATCTCTATTGCATTTTCAATGCAATGTGTTCAGTAATTCACCTCACATCACCTCCCAGGCATGGGGGTTAGTATCAAACACATAGCACGAATAGTCTTCTACTGGGTACTTTACACCACAGCAACACACATGTGTGGCAGCTTGCAAGGCTTAAGCCTCAGTTCTGCATCTGTCCTACTTCATTTGTCTACTGTGTCTTCCCCTATGCCAACATGGCTACTATCCAGAAAGGAAGTTAACCATCCTCGACCACCTAATGACCACCTTTTGCAGAGACCTATGGAAACCAACTCCAAACCTCAATAAGGCAGTTAGAGCAGACACTTAAGTCGAGGAACCTAGAACCTGTGTGGCTGCAGAAACAGCCATATGGTGGCTCAGGGGCCACCAGGAATGGTATATAAATCAAGGAGGCTGTCAGGGTATCCACACATTCTCTAAGTCCACACACCTGCAACCGCCACTAGCCCAGAGCCCCAAGACTGAGGGTCAGAGTACACAAGGTCTAGCTTGTACATCCACTGAGCTGTTCTTGGGGATGGGAGCAGCATATGGGCTGCAGGGAGAAAGGTGAACCACTGCAGCCTGCTACAGACAGCTGACTGAATCTACAGTCATTCCACTTTGAATGTGCCCCATCCAGAGCTGATCACAGTGAGAGCACAAAGGGTTACTGTGCCCGACATGCCATGTTTTGGACAGAAAAGGTTAGTTTCATACTTTGTATAACATCCCTTTTAATCATCTTTCTAAAGCAAGAAACTCAGTGAACCAAAGGATTGCTTTCTTTTTGCTGTGTGGAAAAAAAAAAGAGACTGGCTGTGGATGCACCTTAGCAGTACAGTGAACCAAAGGATTGCTTTCTTTTTGCTGTGTGGAAAAAAAAAAGAGACTGGCTGTGGATGCACCTTAGCAGTACAGTGCTTGTCTAGCACCTGTGGGGCTGTGGGTCCAGCAGATTAAAAAAATAATAAAGGCATTAAACTAAGTGTCCTTACAGTACAACTTACTGTATGGCGGGAAAAGGCGGGAGCACTCTCGGGACCAGGGTTGAGCTGGCTAGTGAGCTCAGCTAACCCCCTTAGGGACACCCGCTGTTTCCACTCTAAGGTTACCTGGAGCGTCTTCTAGCCCATCTGTGAGTGCTGCTTCTAAGGATCCTGCCACTTCTCTAAACCTGAGGGAGCAAGAACATGGATCAGTGCTGGAGGCTCTTCCAGACCCCTTTCCCTGCCTACCCTCCCTTCTTCCAAAGTAACAGGACTCCCATCTGCCTACCGACACCTGACATCGCAAAGACGTACAACCTGCCTCAAGATGCTGCTTTCTTTTTACTGGGCAAGAAATAAACTACCTTGATAAAGCTTCTGTTTTGGAGAGATTGTTGCTATTTGCAGCTGTTCTAAATCACAGAACACACAACCACACAAACCTCATCCAGAGGACATCCCTTAAGCTCCACTTGTTAAAAGCCCTTTTAGTCACTTCAAGGCATGGCAAAGTTGCACCCTGCACCTGCACTGCAACCTGAGCATGTAGCCCCAGTCAGTTCTGAGTACACTGTGCAGGCCTTCTCACTGTTCTCTGCATCCTGATGACAGCCAGTTCACAGGCCCCAGTCAGAGCTTCACTAACCAATAGCTGTCTACTTATCTGCACATGGTTTCCTACTCCACCAGTCTCCACATATTCCTATCACTTGCCAATTCCCCAACAATGAATCCCAACTCATGCTGAAGACCAGTTCACTACAGGGCAGGAGAGAAAGCTCAGCAGTTAAGAGCACTGACTACTCTTGCAGAAGACCTGGGTTCAGTTCCCAGCACTCATATGGCAGTTAACAACTGTCTGTAACTTGAGTTCCTAGGCATGCAACACCCTCTTCTGGCCCCCATGGACATTGCATGACATGGCTGTACTTACATACATGCAGGCCAAACACAGATACACAAAAAATATACATCAAAAAAACTTTTAAAAAAAAAAGACCAATTCATCTAGTGACACTTTTGGAGTTACTGCATAGAAAGAAAGGGACAGTGCCACTACCAGGGAAGCCTGGTCTTGGCAACTGCAGGGGAGATGCACAGATGACCTTGTAGTAGAGAGGACTGGTGAGACAGTCTCGGCCAGCTCAGGACCAGAAGTCTGGAGGACGGGCTGCTGGGTGGCAGAGGTACATACCAGCCCTTGAAGTGCTACCTCAGCCCCGTGGCACCTTGCAAAATCTACAAAAAACACAGGAAAGGAGCTTGGTGCAGAGGCCTAGGGCCCAGCCCCACTTCTCCATGGCAGGGAGAAGTGAAGCACCTACATGGCCCAAGGTCAGGACGTGTCAGAGCTATGGTAGTCAGTGGACTAGAACTCAACGCCAAAGCAGAGCATGACTAGAACATAGAAGACAAAGGAAAACAGATTTAGCTTACTAAACTGGGGAAACAGAGCACCAAGTTATGCGAACATCTGTGACAGTTTAGAAAAAGTCTCAGTGCAGCTTTGACAGCTAACATTCCACACAGCAGTGCTGCCATCTGTTGGTGAGCTGAGCAGCACTCAGAAAGGCCCTAGGCCACCAGGCAAAGCTGCTGTAGCAGATCCACGTCTCACTTAGAAAACTGCTGAATGCCCTGTAAGCCCTCAAAACAGTGGCCTCCAGATGAGCATGACTGTCACTACTCTCCACAGAACATCAGTAGGAAAGCAAACATTTCATTTTTAAATCCCCTTCTCCGCCCCACCCCTTTTTAGGTCTTTTTGTAGCCCCAGCTGGCCTGGAACTCACTATGGAGACCAGGATGGCCTGGAGCTCACAAGAAATTCACCTGCCTCTGCCTCCCGAGTGCTGTGACTACAGGGGTGCACCACCACACCCAGCCTCTAAATTCCTTTTTAAAAAAAGACTTATTTTATTTATTTCTATGTATGTCGGAGGGCTTGCTGAGGCCAAAAGAGGGCACCGGATCTTCTGGAGCTGGAGTTACAGGTGGTTATGAGCCATTCAAGGTGGGTGCTAGGAACCAAACCTGGGTCCTAGCTGTGCTGTGAGAGCAGCACGCACTCTCAACCACTAAGCAGTCTCTCCAGCCCTGATTTCTGAATTCTTACATTTGGGTTTGGAAGGGCTCTACACATGACGTAAGCATCATGAGTTATAGGAAGTAAAACCATTAGTACAAAATGACAACAGCAACAGTAAATGCTGCTTTCTCTCTGCTCCAAGTACCAGACAGGGCAAGACCCATGTGTACTAGGAACACACAGCTCTTGAGGAAGGCATGGAGAGGGAATGAAGGTACTTGAACCTTCATGTTATGAATTCCACATCATAAAGGAAATGCCATATGGTGTATTCAAGTGAATGTTCTGGGAGCCCATTCTAGAAATTTCCATCTGTGGGGCTAACACTCCCCTGCAGTTTCCAGGCTTCAATCTGTGGCTGCATTTACTTTCTCCATGAGAGACTAAGTATACACATTCCCAACATGCCTCTGAGGGTCAATGACATGAGACAGAGTGAGAACTGTTGGTGGCTGTGCTACTTGTTCCTGAGGACAATGGGGCACACCAGATCCAAGGACACACATTGCTCCTGACAGTGTATTAATATGTCTTAGGAAAATGTCAGAATGTCTGCATGTTCTCCTCAGGTTGACCTCTTGTTTTTGAGTCAGCGTCTCCATGGGCAGCCCAATCTGGAATCTTCTTGCCCTGCTTCCCAAGCAATGGATGGATGACAAATATGTGTCAAACCTGGCTCACATTTGCTTTAAATGGCCCTGAAGCCATGGTCTCCAACCCCAGTCATGCCTACAGAGCTGTCATTCCTCAGAGGAAACCCAACACCTGGCAAAAATTAACAGAAAAGTTCTGTAAAATCTTACTTGCATTAAAACAAGCTATGCACTCTATAACCCTAGCATAATTTTATAGTTTAAGAGTTTAAAAGAAGAGATAATCAATCACTTTGAGGATTTGGGAAAACCTAGAAACAACGGAAGGCTCTCTTAAGACTGGCTGCATTTCACAGTCTCAGCTCTGTCAGCTCCAGGGGCACTGGTGGGGCTGGACAGCACCTATGTGGAGGCAGGCAGAAGACCGTGGAGTGTTGGTATGCTGGGTGGTTGTGGGTGTAAAGCAGTCGCCTCAGATCTGGGTTGCAGGAGCAATGGGGACTTAGCACTACTTTGCCACTGCAGTTCTGAGCAATGCAAACAGTGCCGCACAATTTTAAATCCCATTCCTGACTCAGGATTCTGGACTTGTCTCTGTCTTGGGGCTCATATAATAACTGTTTAAGTGCAGACTGAGTGGCTCAGATGAGCAAACCCTCCACTTCCTACTGAAGATGTGACCATAAGAAACTAACAGCAAGCTCGTGTCATGAGGGACAAGGCACCTCCCAGCTTCAGAGCACTGGGACCTCACTGTCCAACTGTGATCATGTACAGAGCTCTCAGTCAGGGTAGCTGCTTCTCCATGTAGTTTCCATTCTGCAATTCACTTCAGAGCTCTGGAGAAAGGATTGTATCGCAATTCGTGAAACATTCAGCAGTCTGAACAAGAAAGCTTCCACTTAAACACTTCAGCAATGCTGTTCTGGGGACGGCCACTTTGTTTCTCAGGGCCATATGCTGCTGAGGACTTGTCTGGATTTCCCAACATTCTAGACTTGCTTATTGACAAAGGTGACAGATTATATGAGATCCAGAAGGAAAGTGTCACTGTCTTCCAGGTCAGAGAACAAAGGCCACAAAGGGAGAGGAAATAATTACACACTCTTCACAAACTGACGGTTGAACACGGAGCCAAGTACAGGCCCAGGACTGGAGGCAGATGGCGAGGTGGAGAAGGATGGAATGGCTGCCACCCAGCACCTTTGGTGTTTGTCACCACAAATACAGAGGGATCATGGGAATGAGGCCAGGCCTGGAATCCAGTTCACTCCAAGCCCAGTTTCTCTCCCAATGCCAGAAAAGAGAAACTCTTCTCGGCAGTTCAACACCCATGAGCACGCACATTGTCACTCCTAGAGAAAGAGCTAGGGTAACGTTCTTAACTAGCAAATGCTAGTCAGATGAGTGTGGGGACAAGGCCCTATAATCCCAGTCCTGGGAGGCTGAGGCAGGAGGATCATGAATTCAAAGTCAGCCTGATACGAATAGCAAGAGTATACCTCAAAATGAGGGTGGGGTGGGGTGTGTGTAGCCAGTTGAAAAGGCAGGATGAAGGGCAGGAGTGACTGACCTTATCTGAAAATAAACAGGCAGGTTCCACTTATTATTGAAGTTGTGGTAGGCGGGGTGTGCACGCAGTCTCTTCACACTGGCCTGGGACCCACACTGCCGCTCAAACCTTCTTACAAAGTCCATGCTTATGGTGTACTTCTACAACAAGAACAAACAGTGGGCTTTTCTCCACCAGCAAACTGGACAGTTAAATGCATACGCTCAAACTGCAGCCAAGGTAATGAAGGTCACTACAGAATCAGGCTAGAGCTGAGAGGCTTTAGGGCAGCTTGCTTATATCTTCCCACCTAATCAGAGCTGAGGCCATGCCCAAACTGGCTCTGTGATACTCTTAAGGTCTCACAGACCAAAGCCCATTTGAAGCTGTGCTAGTTACTGTCAACTTGATACAAACTATAGGTTACACTGGAAGAAGAAACCCCAATTGAGTAATTTCCTCCATCAGACTGGCCTGTGGCCATGTCTGTGGGGCATTTTCTTGATTACTGATATAGGAGGGCCCATCCCACTGTGGGCAGTGCCATCCCCGGGCAGGTGAACCTGTGCTGTATAAGAAAGATTGAGCAAGCCAGGGAAGCAAGCCAGTAAGCAGTGGTCCTCCATGGTCTCTGCTTCAGTTCCTACTTCCAGAAACTGCCTTGAGCTCCTGCCCCGACTTTCATTAAAAATGGACTGTAACCTGGGAATTGTAAGCTGAAATAAACCCTTTCTCCCCAAGTTGCTTTTGGTCATTGTATTTATCATGGCAGCAAAGCAAACAAATAGCACTATAATTCCAGGAATCTAAATGACACACTCCTTCTAGTCCAAGGCAGCCCTGACTTTCCCAAGAAATTAAGTACTTCTCCATAAGTAGAAGTCTTTTAAAAAGAAAAAGAAAGTCCAACCAAACAAGACATCGCATTATTCCCATACATGAGAGATGACTGACGAGGAGTAGCTGATACCACTGAGGCAGCAGACCATCAACATTGACTTAAGCCAACCACTGCCCAACAAGGGGATCACCATGACAATCATTCCTGGCCTTCTTCATTCCTGCCCTTTTGCAAAGAGAAAATAGCATGACTGCCCTTTCCTTCTGTGAGGTCTCCATTCCATAAATCCCCAGGCACCCCACAAAACCCACTGGAGTTTTTAGCTCTTCTTCAGTAAGGAAGAGCTAAATTCTATGTCACCAAGCCATCAGCCTAAATCTGAAAGTTCACACAGACAGGAAGTTTGGGGCAGTCAAAATGACAGTCAGCTACTTCTGGTAACACTCAAGTATTCTCTGGGGGTGAAGAGTTGAGACAAAGGAGGGGCCTGAAACCATACACAGCGACACCAAAGGTGTACAAAGGATCGCTCCCTTCAGAAGAAATGGGGCATGGCCTTCAAACGGGGAATTTCTGGAAACAAGGTGACAGAGACCCATGGAAACCTCAGCGACCAATAATGGGCCCTAGTCTAGAATTCTGGAGTATGGGTTCTCTCAGCAAGGCTCCCCTCAGAGCCAAAACCTCTGCTGAGCCACCCGCAGTCCATATGGAGCACAGCAAAATAGGAAGTCCCTAATCATCTGGTACCCACACTGCCCTTTTACCTCACTTAATTATCCAATCTAAAACACCCTGGTTCTTAAAATCACAATAGTTGATTATACAACTTATAAACAAAAGTTACTGTATGATTCAACATACTACACACGGGACAAACAGCAGAGAACAGGCAAGGGGTGTCTCTAAGTCAAGGAAGCACCAGACTTGTGTGCACAGAAGTCCACCAGGTTACAGGCTCTGCACACTTACCTGTGCCTCTCCACACAACTAAAATTACTAACAAATTAAGCAGGCAGACCTCAAAGAGCAAAAAAAACTTTCAGAAATGACAACTACGGCACTGAATAATGAATGAATCAATTGGTGACTAGAAGGAAGGTCCAAAGAATGATCCAGAAAGCAGCAAATACAGAGGGACAGGGGAGGCAAATTAAGAACTCAAGGAGTTTCTGAGGAATGAAAGAAAAGAATAACTGAAGAGATGATGGAATGAACATTCTAAAGGACGAAAATTATCAATCCTCAACAGAGGAAATACAACTGCAACAGATCCCAGCACACAGTCCCAGGAGACTTACAAGCAGCTAGAGAGGACAGGTTAACACCTGATTTCCCACTGAGTCAGACAGCTCTGTGTGCTGAGGGTTCTACCTTTCCAACAGAAAAGCACTAACAGTTACATAAGGACATTATGAGTCCTACTACAAAGCCTTCTGAGAGATGACCTTCATCAAGGAACCATGAACAGCAGAAAGGATAAACTTGTGGACTCAGTCCCAGAGTATGATGACCATATAAAACAGAAAACGCCCAATTTTTAGCATAAAAACCCAAAAGTACCTGGGAACAGCCTTGGGAGCTTCTATCCTAGGACATTCAGAAGGAGGCCAGAGAACACAATTCCAACTGGCATTTTGTCAAGTGAAGATATGAGAACCTGCCTGCCTCTCTTGAAGGTTACTTCATATACACAGAAATAAAAAAGGGTGTATTATCCACTTGAATAGGAGGAAAAATACAGAATAGCCCCCCCAAAGCCTAAATTACAAAAAAGGCAGGAAAGAAAAGGAGAAAGAAAAGGAACAAAGAAAGTTATATAAACTAGGGCAAAGAGGAATTATAAAGTAAGCTCCAACTAACCCAGGAAATCTTCAAAGCCACCTAATTAAAACACTGCTTATAAGGAAAGAAAACCCTAAACCAAGCTGGAGAAGCAGATGCCTGGGTACGGCACAGCGCTGTGGTGCACTGCCTTCCAAAACAGTGAGAAACAAGCACCTCCAGTAGTTCTTGAAATCATCAAGTCTCGCTATTTTTCTTCAAAATCACACACTAGAGATGACCACGTTTGCATTTAGTGTGTATGGTATAGGTGCGATATGTGTCTGAGATGTGTCTGAGGTATGTCTAAGGATGTCACAAACCAAACCACACATGGATAAATCAGATTTGTGTTCACGGTTTCTTTTTCCTTTTGTAAAGATTTATTTCTATTTTATGTGTATGAATTCTTTGCCTTCATAGTATGTATGTGTACCTCACATGTGCAATGCTCTTGGAGGCCAGAAGAGGGCACTGGATTCCAAAAAACTGGAGTTAATGATTGTTGGGAGCTGCCAAGTGAGTGCTAGGAACAGAACTCAGGTCTGCTGCAAGTGCTCTTAACCACTGAGCCATCTCTCCAATCCATGTGTGCGTGCACACGTGTGTACGTGTGTGTGTGTGTGTGTGTGTGTGTGTGTGTGTGTGTTTTAAGGAAAACATTCACTCAGCAAACCAAATTTTTGTTTTTCATAAACAAGATCAAAACTGTGTAGATGATGTGACTTTCTCCAGGTCTTGGGAGGGAAGACATTTTTCAAGAACCAAGATAAGCAATTACCTGCTGAAAGCCATCAGGATCTCCGGGATTGAAGAGCGAGGGTAACTTTTCTTCTAGTCCTCGCACTATTTCCGGCCATACAGAATTCACCAAGAAGTCATACCCAGGAACAACAGTGCCTTTCTCACTGTGAGACAAGGTAGACATTCAGTCAGTTCACCAGCACCTACCGACAAAAGACCAAGTCCACTGTGCCTTTGTCTACTAAAAGGTCTTCAGCCTAAATCTCATTTTACCCATTTTAAGACTGTACTTTGTGTCTAGAGTATTTCATTTTCACTTCTTGGTCTCAGTGTCACTCTGACCTTGACATAGCCTCTGGATCCTGTCCCCATATGTTGTCAGGAAGGCAAAACCACTGCATAAACTGGATATAATTCCCACACTCACAGGACACCACCCAGACTCTTAACATAGGAAATAGCATCCTTAAACTGTACATAGGTGGCACAGGTCTGTATTCTCAGCACTAAGGAAGCTAGGACAAAAGAATTGAGAGCTCAAAGACAGCCTGGGCTACATAACAGGACTTGGTATCTGTGCTGGATAGCTTTAGTGTCAACGTGACATAGCTGGGTAGAGGGAGCCTCAATTGGAGAATTGCCTCTATTGGACTGGCCTACGGCCATGTCTGAGGGGCATCTTCTTGATGAGTGATGTGGGAGGGCCTAGCCCACCATGGGTGGTGCCACCCTTGGGCAGGTGGGCCTGTGTTGCATAAGAAAGTAGGCTGAGCAAGGGCCAGGGAGCAAGCCAGTAAGCAGCATTCCTCCATGGCCTGTGTTCCAGCCCCTGCCTCCA